TGAAGACTTTCAGCTGCTATGAGACAGAAGTATTGTGCTTCGCAAGGTTTTGGATCTTCGCGTTGATGTCGTGATGTGCCCCGGCCCTAGCACCAGAAACGTGAGGGTATGTTCGAAACGATGTGAATCAGAGCAGAATGTGAAAGGAGGCGGCGGCAGCAGGGATTCCTGAGCACGCACGTGATGAGCTTGCAGACTGGATGGACTTCGCACAGAAATTAAAAGACTGCTGTTGCCGTCGTAAAGCGATATCGTTATGATCTCTTTCAGCTTGGATGTTGCAGGCGCAATCTTCTAGTGTGTCGCGTGCTGCATCGCTTCGTCTGGTGCCTGGAAAGCTTGTCGCCGCGCTGCAGGAATCTGGCTCCGATCGTCGTGTTTAGTCCTTCGCCCCTGAGCATCATGGGACGTCGCGGAAACGCGAAGGGCGGAAGCAAAGGGGCCGGCAAGGCTGGCGAGCAACCCAAAGAGTCGCAGTACGTGAAGCGCGTGGACTTGTACAAGTTCCTGGGCAAGTGGATGTTGCGTTCCTATCCGGACGAAAGGGGAAGACCTCTCATGTTGGGCGCGAAAAAGTCTACTGCAGAAGCGGCCCTGGAACCCGAGGCCCTGAGGGCCATTCTGGATGCCGACTGCTGCGAGCTACTCCGACGCCCCACAATGGGGCTCAACCTCGCGGCCGCTTCCATCGACTGTGCGGCTTTGCTCGGGCCGGTGCTGCAGGACAAGATGGAGAGTCTGTTGCCGAAGCTGACCTCGGAGAACTTCCTGGACAAGGTACACTTCCTCAACCTGGCCCGCAACGTGGAGCGCAATCCAGAAGAAGCTCCGGAACATTGCAAGAGTCTGCTGAAGAAGATCAAGCACTTGGTAAGGGATCACGGAGCAGATCTGGCAGCGGCGGCCGAAGCAGCGGCTGGAGTCTTCCTGGGGCTCGTCAGCATCATGGAGGTGGCGGCCGTGTCCAAGGATCTGCGCGCGTGGGCCAAGGGCGTGCCAGAGCGCAGGAAGCAGAGCAAGCACCTGCAAGCTTGGCTCCAGGACCCCGACGACGAGGACAAATTCTTGGCAGCCGTCGCAAAGGCCGTGAAGGAAGACAACAAGAACACCATGCGGGCTCGGCGCTTCGGCGATTTCGAGTTGCAGGCAGAAGACACGTCGTCCTCCGTCGCGTTGCTCAGCAGTCAAGATGACAGCCCCTCGTCGTCGGTGCTTCGCGCCAGCAAGAAGAAGCGCGGCAAAGGCATGAAGCCGAAGAAGGCAAAGACATCGAAGAAGGCGAAGAAGAGCAAGCAGCGCAAGCAGGCATCATCTTCGCCGGACACCGCTGCGCAACCGAGTTCCGAAGACACGGAGCCCGCGCCGAAGAAGCGCAGGCGAAGTGCGCCCGTCAGGGGCTCCAAAACGAAGAAGACCAGAAAGGGNNTCATCGGCAGAGTCCGAGTCGGCATGCAGCGAGCAACTGCGGGGACAGGTCGCAGACGGCAAGGACCTATGCAAGACCTGGTCGCTGTCCGAGTTGCAGGCCTTCGAGGAGATGGCGGCGCAGCAGGCCATGGCGGTCGACAACGCCGCGTTGGAGGCGGAGCAAATCTTGAGGGTGAGCAAAGCCCTCCCTGCGGAGCTTCGCAGAATGGTTTGGGAGCGCGCCGGACTGTTGCCGAGCACGGAAAACGAGGAGGTGCTCAAGGCGAACGCAGAGCGCATCGCGAAGCACATCTTCGAGATGGTCAAAGAAGTGCGTCTGGCCTGGGTACAGGCCGCGGTACAGGAGGACCAGAAGAAGAAGACGAACATCGCCCTGCTGCCGGAGGAGAAGCTGTTCCACCAGGTGCTCACGGTCAAGCTCCCGGAGGAAAATCGTGCGGCATGGGAGACTGCCCTACAGGACGACTCGCCCGAATGCTTGCACCAGCGTGCGGTGCTTCTCAGGGGTTTGTGGGACGCAGACGCGGCAATCGCCAACTACAACAAAGCCCTCACCTTCGCAGAGGAATTCGCCATGAAGGAGCCGAAGAAAGAGAAGGCCTTGGATCTCGTGAGCTTGATTCCGGCCACGGTGGCCGCTGCCTTCGGACTGCCGCCACCGGAGAAATTCGAGCGCCAGAAGCCGGCTAACTGGAAGAACTACTGCAGCGTGGCCTTCACGCTGGCCTGGCACATCTTCAAGAGCCACGCGGATCTGAGCTAGAGATTTTAAGCCGGCGAGGACCAGTGGCCGGGTAACCAAGCACAGCGGGTACAGACCCCGGCCCTGTCCCGGACGGCGAAAGCGGAGTGCCGCATGCTCGCAAACGATACCGAGAGTCCGGGTTTAGGGTGAGCAACACAGCAATTAGTCGAAAGACGGGCCAAGCGATAGCAGCACAGCATGCACTCCAGTGCTTTAAGACATGCACGTCAATCGGGCCTTCACTGAACATGACTGTATGTCAAGACTCGTATCTGCGGCAATGGACACGGATGCAACTCCGTTTAGTCGATAGCAAGCAGCCATTTTGCGATACGTGCTCACTCCGTGGAAGCGGGCGGAAGTCTCACACGCACTTGGCGTCGGCAGGATTGTCATGAGCAGAAGAGCCAAAACATGCGTGCAAAGTTTTGCGAGTGACTAGCCAAGGTTCGACGCCAGGTAGACGTTGTTTGTCTCGATTCAGCGTGTCGGCAGCTCGCAACCGTCCCCGTTGCCTTGCCTGTCTGATCGGCTCCAGCATCTCTGTCAGACTAGCAATCCTTGCAACTTTCGCACGCAGTGTGCACATCTTGGGCCGCAGTCGCTGTGACTGTCGCCCTGGCGGGCCACTCAGATTGCATGCTTGGTGACTTTGTGTTCTGTCGGCAACTCTCGCCGAGGCGCCAACATGGAGGCGTGCCTGGAAGCGCATGAGACGCCTGCAGGCATCGCGACGGTTACTCTGCTCCAAAGCAGCGTGTCGAGAAGGAAGATGCGGAGGTCGACGACGACTTCGCAAGAGCCTCGGGGTTCTGTGGTTCTTGCACTGAAGCCTTCGCAACCGAGGCCTTCGAAGAGAAACCGTTTGGGCAGGCTGGGCTGTTCGCAATCATCGCGCGGTTCACATAACATCATTGCCAGGATGGAACGGAAGCCATCGCGGTTAGGCCCTCGGACAGCAGTAGCGGTGCGTGTGGTCTTCTCTTGTCCAACTTTTGCGGTCAACCCTTCTCCGGCGCAGCTTTCGTGTCGAGAAGGAAGATGCGGAGGTCGACGACGACTTCGCAAGAGCCTCGGGGTTCTGTGGTTCTTGCGCGGAAGCTTTCGCAACCGAGGCCTTCGAAGAGAAACCGTTTGGGCAGGCTGGGCTGTTCGCAATCACCGCTCGGGTTTACATAACATCATTGCCAGGATGGAACGGAAGCCATTGCGGTCAGACCCTCGGACAGCAGTAGCGGTGCGCGTGGTCTCCTCTTGTCCAACGTTTGCGGTCGGACCCTTCTCCGGCGCAGCTTTTGTGGTTGGAGTCTTTCGTTTCCCAATTTATGTGGTTGGACTCTTGTCTTGTCCAACTCTTGTCGTTGGACTCTGTCGTTTGTGGATTTTCGTGGCTAGATTGTTCTGTTGCCCACCTTGCGTAGTTAGACTCATCTCTGTCGCAACTGTGCACATGCAACCGACGATCGTAGCAGCAGAAGCGTGGCAGCAGCATTCGTCTCTTTGCACGGCAGGTAGCCGTCGGTCGCCAAGAAGACGGCAGAAACAAGGCCCGTGTTGCTCGGATGGATGTCGGAATGTGCACATGCAACCGATGGCGGTGAGGATGCGAGCACAATGAAGTACCGCGAGCTAATGCATGCGTCATATCGTACCAACATGTCGGGGTGAGCCACACACGCATGCAGGGTGCCGATTTTGGCTACAAGCATATGCAGTCGCTCGATTAGTCTGCCTTCGCTGCCATGCCCGGGCCGGCGCAAGATAAGGTTTTGCGGCTACGCCGCGATGGCCTGTCGGAACACAGCATACGACAACAGCTCAAAGCGGAGGGTTACAAGCCCGGGCGCATTTCACAACTGTTGCAGCAGACGCGAGTCGAGGCATCGATCGAGGCGAACATGGAGGAGGACCGCTTCAACAGAATGCGCATCCAGCGGTTGCGCGACTTGAACATGGGCTCGCAAGCATCATCATCATCTCCGGGGTCAACCAGCAGCGACGAGAATCTCGCGTCCCAGGCGTCCCAGGACAAGGCAGAAGACACTCTCTGGGACCCTTCTGGCTTCGAAATGCCCGAGGGAGTACTGCTTCCACACATGAGGTTGCCACCCGCATGCAGAAGAGACTTGGCGACCATGGGCGAGGACGTCTGGGAGGACCGCCTGACTGTGCCCCCGGACGGCTTCTGCATGCTGTACACATTTCTTGCTGCATGCGATCCCCCGACGTGGAGTCGGCTACGCAGAAGCGAGATGGGCTTCATCGAAGACGTCGTGGCCGAGCAGAATTACAAGGAGGCTGCGCAGAACATTCTGAGGCACATCCTGATGCTGCTCCGCGCGCAAGAGAAACACGGGGAGGCAGCTCGTCTCGAAGCCGGAGGACACCCAGGCCAGGAAACCACATGAAGTTGCATAGCCATTTAGTAGGAACGCGCTCCTTTTAAGTGTTGTCTGTGGGGTTGCAAGGGTGACGCAGTTGTTCGACTCGACCCGGTTGTCAGGCGACCAGGAACTCGGCGCCTACAGCGAAGCCTTTGGATGCGCCATATTAGTGACATCGACAGACCCGCAGGCTTTTCCCGTGAT